TGTCTTATTTTTGGGTTAATTGCAAAATATCCCCTCTAAGTTTGAGTCATATTACAATCGACTCCATAAGATTTTTATTTAACTCTCATGTAATCTAAAATTAATCAAAAAGCACACAATTACCCTAATCTCAATATTTGTATAAATATAAAACTTCAAAAAATAATAAAAAAAAAAAACCAACTCCCCCACACAAAAAAAACCCAACTCCCTTTTTCCTCCGGTGGACCGGACCCCCATCCCCACGCCCACCCCCACCCACACGCCCAAAGAACTGAGCTCCCTGCCCTCTCCACTGAAACCGAAACCCAGCACCCATACCCCCACCCCCGAACAACAATACTCCCTTCCCTCCTCTAGTGAAACAAAAACACACCCCCACCCAAATCCCCAGCAGTGACGCCCAAACAGTCCAACCCCAAAAATAAATCTACCCTTTACCCGGCAGCACCCTCTAGAGAGAGAGAGAGAGAGTTCGCCAAGCTGTGCCATGGTTGGCTGGTCGAAGCAGAAGGAAAGAGGAAAAAGGGAAAATTTTCTGATGGTTGCAGTCAACGGGGACTGATTTTTCGATCGATCTTGGTTGCATTTAAATCAAAGAATGCATTTGCTTGTTGGATTTAATTATTTGATGGGGGTGGGGAATATCGGAGGTGGGATGGAATTTGGGGTATGAACTATCCTGGTCTGGAGGTTAGGGGTTGCCGAAGGTGGGTTTTGGATTTCGGGGTACTATTGCTGTTGGTTATAGGGCTGAAGGATGGTCAAATCTAGGATAGAGTCATTGGGAGGGAGGGGGCACCACCGTAGCAGGGAAGGAGGCACTGTCAGAGCTAAGAAAGGCCCTTGGGAGCATCACCGGAGCCGGAAGTTTAGGATAGTTTTGGAAGTTTATATTTTATAAACTCAGCGTTGAACTTATTTCTTAAATTCAATATTTTTTAAAAATGTCATTTTAAATGATATTTTTAAATGTTAAAACATCATTTAAAATGATAATTTAAAGTTAAAATTTTTTTCCTGAAAACGTCATTCCTAATAACGTTTTTAAAATTATCATTTATAATGACGTTTTTAAAAACGTCATTATAATTGAATTTTTCTGCGCCTTCATAAATACTAACGTTTTGTGCCCCTTATTAATAATGACGTTTTCTACCCCTTCATTTATAATAAAATTTTAAAAACATCTTCTTAGCTTTTTACAATGACTTTTTCTTAGCCAAAAGTCTCCAACCTACTTATAATAAATTTCATAAAAGCTAATTAGTCCACCTAATTTCTCACATCATGATTCACACAACAAAAATTTTTTTTTTAATAAATTTTAGAATTTAATTCTATTTTCATGATAATTTTGAAATTATTTTATAATCGAAAATAAAATTCATTAAAACATAATTTAATTTCATATTTTTCAATAAGTAAAATATATATTTAATAAAAAAAACCTTAAAAGCGTATTTTGAAAGCAAACTTCTATATCAAAAAGTATGTATTCCTCTATAGAGCAACCGAAAGAAAACTTATTCTTGGTTGTGCTCCACAAGCAAACCAGTCTTAAAGAGAGAATGATCCAAGTTCTCTAACTGAATTCCCAAGTCAATTTCGGTACATATTAAACCCAACTATTAAAATTTTAAAAATATTTTAGCTTTAAACAAGTCATCATGAATTTGATTCATTTCACCAACTAGTTAAGTAGTTATTCTTCAATAGCAATGCTTCCTTACAACATCACAAACAGAGGAGACTTGAAGCTTTATATATGATGATCATATTCCTCAAAAAAAAAAAAAGAAAAAAAAAGAAGTAACAATACCACTCATTTCTTGTACATTTTGAAGCTGCGATAAATAGAATTCAATTTTTCATTATTTATCTTTATATAAGTGTACCCCAAGCCAAAGAACAACAAACACTAATAACAGCCTCCAAGCAAAAGGGCTATACATTATCATTCAGGCTGTATGTACAAAACCCTTTTCCATTCATCTTCCTTTTTCAAACTCTTCACAAAATATATTATAGCCAAACCACTCTCTAACCCTTTTTCTACTTTCATCCTCCTCTTTTTCTTCATTGTATTGTATGTTAGGTGTGTTGCCTGTATGGCATGTTGGCATGTTATTCAAGGATTATTTTCTGCAAATATATCCAACAGACAGAGAGTCTGCAAAATTCAAAAGCAGACCAATATTTTAGCATACTATGCATTATAAAGTGCTTTAACAAAAAGTCAAAAAAAAAAAAAAAAATTGGTGCATAGTTTCAACTAGCCCAAACAAGGAAAAGTTTCAGAAATGTTTCGAAAACAATATTGAATCAAACAGAGAAAAATTTGGAAGATTGCTTTGACTGAAACATTTGAAACACCTCAAATCATTTTTGAAACACTTCAAAAGGAAGAATTTTGATATTCAGTGATTGATTTATTCAATTTTGATCCTTGATAGTAATAAGCAACTCACCACAGGGACTAAGGACGCCCATAATACACAATCAAAATGACAATAATAAAAGAACCAAAACAAAACAAAGCTCAATAAAGTGCCCAGCCAAAAATTACAATACTATAAAGCATCGAAATGACATTTATACATACTAACTATTTTAGTTCTTTTGAGATGCAAAATTCAGAATCTAGATAGGGAAGATCATGAGTTCCAATATCAAACCTGATTCCTTGCAATTGCTTGAAGCAGCCTCTCCTTCTCCTTGAATGCACGGAGAGATCTCCGAAAATCTAGCATCTTCCGCCCTTCAGATGATCCCTTTCATTCCAAAATGCAAATAGAATAATTGTTAGGGATAGAGGTCCCCGCGTACACATTTGGAGAATGGTATAACATGTGATAACAAAATCCTCAGATCAGAAATTAATTACTTCCGCAATGATATGTGTGTATTTACGAGGATGACGTCCAAAAAGGAAAATTCAACCAATGGACTTGCCCAATTCCTAAATTGCGGTTATAAACTACTAGTGAATCTAGGCAGACTCGGTATCATTTGCACAGGGACTAATTAACACATGATAATTATTTTTAGCAGTATTGGGGCATTAAGCTGAATTCTATGCAACAACTAGAGCGTGGCCAATCTGTTTTCTCTGTACATCCAACGCCGAGGAGCACCGGTGAATCTTTCCTTACCTTGAGTGACAATTATCTATAGAACTAGATATGTACCAAGTTCAATCATAAAGCTAATATATGTGGTCTTACATCCACAAGGACAACAACATCAATATGATCTCATTAGGAATCAAGACATAAGGCCTTGAAATTTTGTCAGAAAAAAGACCAGACAGAAACTGCATCGGAGAGATGCAGTAGAAGAGGAGCACCAAGAGATGTGGCAACTTACATTAGTCTTCAAATCTCATCCAAAGAACCCCTGGCACTAGGGGGCCCTTACTTTCACAGTACCAAACAATTGAATGCAAAACAGAAGGATCATAAAAATGAAGCGCCACTCTATTAAAAGTTGACAGGGCATTCAAAGCTGGCACTATAGGGGATTGCCTTTTTTTTTTGGTATCCAATGGTAAGAGGATGCATAGTAACCAATACATATGCATCTGGTATAACAACAGAAAGCAAATGGAGCATACCAACCAAGCTCTCTGCATATTACGCATGCGCAAGCTTCGCCTCTGGAGGATCTTCTCCATGACAGACCCATCTAGGAAAGAATCTGGGTTTTCATTGGTGTCCAGATCTTCAACTTGATTGTTTGACATTGTTTCATCTGAATTCCATGGGGGTTTTCAGAACTCAGCTGCATTCTGTCAAGATGTTCCTGAAGCAAACCCTCTGCTCTCCTTTGCAAACTTAGTGGTATAACCACCTGCACAAATGGGTCAAAGCTTTCCAATCCTAGCATAAATTACCAAATTTTGCATTCCAAATATGGGATTTAAATCATTCTAAGAGCATTCAGAAGTTATTACCTCGCGTTGAGGCCGTTTATCATCAAGATCTGACTTCATTAAATTTGAGTTTGTCCATTGGAGTCATTTATATCAAATTAAGCTTTCTACTCAAATGTTAATTTAAATTTGAATAAAAATTTAAGTCAAATTTGAAGATGCTTTTCAAACCTGAAAAGGCTAAATTAAAGAAGAGAAATTAAATATAAATAGAGATTGGAGAAAAGAGGGAGAAATAAAAATATCAATCTTCAATATAAAAAACTAATTTAATGTAGGATCTATTTAGGATATTATTCGACATGATAAGGTTAGGATAGATTATGAATTACTTCTAGGATTATTTCTGTTAAAAAAACCTTGTAGAGGTACGTGTTAATAGATTAAAAAAAAGAGCTTGATATATACATTATAACTTGTTATTCCTTTTCGTTTAAAAAAGTGGGGCTGCATTCTAATCAGAGCATTCTATGAGTATGTGGTGGTGTGTTGCTTTGCCAAATCTGCTTCAAGTATCAAAATATTTTGGGTAATTAGTATCCACACCCCATCTAAAGAAATATAGCTTCAATGAGTCCCTTTCTATTATTCAAAACATGAGTATAATGCAATTTTACTAAATTGTCAATGACATCTTTTAGAAAAAACTTTATCTTCCCCTTTTAGATAAATATATCTTCAATGAGACATTCTTTATTTTCAAAAGAAAAATTATGTATTAAAATTAGGGTCAATTAAAATCCGATTTGAGGTGATTAAATTTTATATTTTTTGTGTATTAAAATTTAAGTCTTGAATTTTAATATGAAAAAAATAAATTTTAATTGGCTAGAATCAAATTTTAATTAATTCGAATTTTAATTAAATTTTATGCATAAATATTTTTGAGGTTTATGTAGGGGTAATTTTGGCATTTCAAATAATTTTTTTAGGAAGAATTACATCTAGAGTCCCTTAGATTTGTCACTTAATCACTTAGACCCCCTTGACATTTGAAATATTACACATAGACCCCTAAAGTCTTTACGCGCATAATACTTAGACCCCTGTCGTTAGTATATCCTTTAATAAATTACACCAAGACCCCCGAATTTTGTAAACGTGTAATACATAAATCTCTGCAATTTAAAATGTTATACTTAGATAAAAATACTTCAATTAAAAATTGAATATAAAATATTTTAAATTTTATAACTAAAATTCATATTTTATTATAAAATTTATTAAAATAAAAATAAAAATCTAATTTTTTTCTAAAAAAATTATAATTAGTGTACAATTATATTATATTGAAATTTAATTTGGTTGTTTAAACAACCAAATTAAACTACCAAATTATCTCAATTAAAGATAGAAGATATTGTCTCCATTACAGTTTGACCCTTGTTTGATTTTTTAGTTTTATTCCAATAGATACTGTAATTGTATACTAATTATGAATTTTTACGAAAAAGATAAATTTTTATTTTTAATTTTATTTCAATAAATGACATAATAGAAGTTGAATTTTGGTTGTAAAATTCATTTTCTATTATGAATAATTTAGACCCCTTATTTGATTTTTTTTGTTTTTTTCCAATAGATAATATAATTGTATATTAATTACGATATTTTAAAAAAAAATAATTTTTAATTTTTAATTTTATTTCAATAAATTATATAACAGAACATGAAATTTGGTTATAAAATTTAAAATATTTAATATTCTCTCTTTGATTGGAATATTTTTGGTCTAAACATAACATTTTTGACTTGAGGGGTCTTAGTATTATATTTCTACAAAATTTAAGGGGCCGAGATGGAATTTACTAAAGAATATACTAACGATAGGTGTCTATTATGCGCGAAAAAAATTTAAGGGGATCTATGTGTAATATTTTCAATGTTAAGGAATTTGAGTGATTTAGTGACAAACCTCAACGAGTTTAGACGTAATTTTTTATTTTATTTTTTTATTATAAAAGATGGTTTAACAATAGGGAGTGTAGTGATGTTTTGAATTATGGAGGAAGTGTGGTTCAAGATATAATAAATTGAAAGAGACGTGACTGAAATTTTTTTAAAGCAGCTTTTGTTTTCTTTTTCTTCTTTCATGTTTGTTGCCTTTTTCCATAATTAAACAAATACAAATAAAGAAAACAACCAGCCATAAATGGAGATAAAGGATGTAAACTGTAGAGTGAGTCTCAAAAGCGGCAGAAAGAAAATGGGAAGAGAAAGAAAGAGTACAAAAACCAACCTCCTCCATGACAGAGGAGTCACTATCAACCCATGGCCATGAGAAATTACCGCTAGTGGCTTCAGCAGCGTTCACGGGTGTTTTTTCCATTTTCTAGCAAATAAGGAAAATTAAAGGTACGTTTGGCAATATTTTTAATTTCTTTTATATAAAAATAAAACATAACTAGTTTTTATTTTTTTTTTTATTTTTTGTGATAAAAATTAAAAATATAAAATATTTTTAATAATTATTTATATTTAAAAAATTATAAAAATAAAAAATAAAAAATATATTTGATATTATATATTTTGGATAATATTTACTCTAAACCTCACAATCGTTTGACCTCTATCGATATACACACGAATTGATAAATTTGAAGGATCTACCTCAACTATTGATAAGCTAGTAGTGATAGAGAATAATAAATGATTTTTCTTGTGTTAATAGGAGGAGTTGTTTTTCTCGTGTATTCACCTCCTATATTAATATATTGGATAAATTACACTGACACTCCTTTGTATATTGGTCTAATTACAGAGACACTCCCTCGATTTTCTAAAATATCAGTGACACTCTCTATCAAAATTGTGAAAAACATTAACATGAAACTAGGGCTTTTACAAATTGAATTTTGTTGTGTTCTTCGTGAAACTTTTTGTTTTCTTCAAATTTGTTATTCCTTTCCATCATTAACATAATAATGTTATTTTTTCTTCAAATGGTGGGTCTAATTTTCCACTTAAAAATACTTTCCCTTTGCACGCGGTAATTCCAACCCAAGAATCTCATACATCAAAAAGTCTTCATAATCATTCCAACCACCACTATTGGTGGGCCCTACCACTAGCAAAGACTTCAAGTCTTCTTCTGCAAATGGTAACGTAAGAATTGCTTCCAAAAATTCCACTTACTTTTATGGCCCACCATACTTTCTGTTCTTCCAATACTGTTCATATCCTTAAATCTATCTCCAAGGCTTCCTACGTGAAAGTCTTCACCATGGGACCTCCTTTCCACCAAGAATCCCATAAATTATTCTATTACCTCTAATCTGCAAATTGGAACATTATCTGTGTTTGGGTCTATTAATTGATGTATGTAGCTCTAGGCTATTTTGCTATTTTTTTATTTTTAATTACACATTTGTTATTTTTGAGTTACTTTGTCTTTTTTCGTTCATGTGATTACAACGATGATAACTTAGAAAAAAGTTCATGACATGAATTTAACACTGACAAGAAAAAAGGACAATCTTGAGAGAGATTGGTGACAAAGAAAATTATAAAGCAGTTGAACAAAGCAATGGTGGAGTCAAGGGTTTGTTTTGTATTGCAAGTTGGGGGGCTAAGCTATATGAGATAATGGATGGGGAATTTAGGTGCATTGTCAAATTAAATGAAAATACGTGTGATCGCATGGTGATCTAAGAAAATAGCCAATTTGTGATATAAGAAAATAGCCCTCATCTCTTGGTGATCTATTGGATCCTTCTCTTTTGAGAAGATTTCCAGGTAGACCAAAGAAAATTAGGAGAAGGGAGCCTGATGAGGCAGCAACTAGAACAATTGTAGTTAGGAGGAGCTTAACAGTGAGATGTGTGATACGTAAGGAATATGGACACAACAAGAGAACATGTCAGACGGCACCGGTAAGGGAATCACAAGGCAGAGGAAATACTGGGAATGAGGATGGGGGCACAAAATCATAGCAAGGCACAAGCAATGTCAAAGTACAAGAGCTTTTTCCCAAACCCAGTCTCTCCACTATCTTAATTCCTTAAATCAGTTTGTTTTAAACTTATTTTTTAAACATAGTTTTTTTTTTTAAAACGTCATTTGGAATGACGTCTTAATGAGTTAAAACGTCATTTTAAATGACGTTTTTAAATGCGTCATTTTTAATGACGTTTTAACTCATAAATTTTTAAACAGCAACTAATAGATGTTGTAAAAAAATGAGGGGTAGAAAACATCATTATAAATGACGTTTTCTGCCGACAGTATGGAAAAGTGCATACAGCAGGGCTATCTGTAGTGTGCTTTGGAAAAAAGAAAAAAAAAAGTGAAATTCAACCATGGACCAGCTTTTTGACTTTGCATGAGGATTAAATTGCTTGTTCTATGGAGTCCCAGTTAGTATTGGTGGCGGAGGAGAGATAAAGTGCTATCTGCAGTGTCCACACCCCCGCCCCCCCTTTTTCTGTTTTTTTTTCTCTCTCTCTTTTGCACACACAGACAAACACAAGTGCACGCATGGAGCTTGGTGTACTTTTTTTTTTTATAATAATCAAAACACATTTATTAATGAAGTATGAAAAGTAAATCAAAAATGGTTGGGTATGAAATCCATGCAAGAAAATAGAATAACCAAGGGAGCTTGTTAAACTCAGATTCACTCAATTGGTATACCACATAATGTCATAACCAAAATAATTTTGGTTTGTCTCTATCTTTTACAATTATGATAAAAAAATGTTATTATAATTTTCTGTGTTGTACGTGCATGTGAATAGTAAAGAGTATAGATGTTCATGAACAACTTGATGATGTAGGAGCTCTGATATATTATTTTTTAGGTCAATGATGATTTGCAAGTGTTTCTGGAGAGCGATGGAAGATTTTATATGTTAACACTATATCCACAGATAACATATAATGTGAGAGGAGAAATGAATTAATAAGAAAAGAAAAAGGTATTTCCTAACACCCCCCCCCCTCCAAAAAAAAAAAAAAAGGGAAGGAAGAAGACAATTACAGAGACTCTTGGACTCCCACAAAATTGTTCTTGTCACTAGCATAAACAAAGCAAGAAAGACAAATAACAATCACCCCTTGTAGATTACATCTATCCACCAAATAGAATCAATCATCTTCACTCAAAAGGAGCTATGCCTTGGTCGTTCCTGTGCAACATTAACTCTGATTGCCCTGCTGTCCAAACTCTGCATTAAAAGTGATACACGAAATCAGGCAGAAATTAAGGTACTCACGGTATTCCAAAATGAAACATACTCAAGAGGTCACTTCAACATTCTTTTTTTCCCTGCTTCTTTTCTTCCTACTTTCGTATTTGTTGATCTATTTGTGCAGATGGAGAATTAACATGTGAGGGTGGAATATATCCCCACACCCCCTCCCCCTTCCCCTTTTAGAAGGTTTGTGTTCCACTCAATTAAATATAAAAGACAATATTGCTTGGTCTATCAGAAGCTTTAACTCTGCTTTTACTAGTTTTTCTATCAGAATATTAAGTATAACTGCCTGATGCAAAGGGGAAGTACAAAAAATTATTTTTTGGTATAATTACCCAATCTTATTTTGAAGTGCTTTGTAAGATATGTAAAATGGGTTTCTAGAAGCATTCAAACTTAGAAAACTTCGCAACAAGAAAGCTTGACTTTTCACCAACGCGGTTATCTTTGTGGGATACTCTTATTTCATTTAAGTTCCAAAGAATTTTCATAATTTTCTTCCTTCTCCAAACTTTCATCATTTTTTTTGGGGAGGAGAGGGGTGGGAGGGGGACTTAAACCTTTGATATCAAGAAGATAAAGCCTTCAAAAGTTAAGGAGTATCATTGAACTAAAGACTCATCGATAAAACTTTCGTCATTTAGTTTAGAGGTTGTAATCTTAATTCATTAACCATTAATCCATCTAATTCGTCCATAAATAAATAAGTTGGATACTTATATTAATTAATGTGGGTTCTAAACAAATTGGGTAATATAACTCATTTTAATTAAGCATGTTAATATGAATTATAAATGGATACTCATTTTTTTGAGTATTTATCTTTCTATTAAATAAAAAAAAGTAATAAAATCAAATACACACTAATATACAAAAAAAATACACACACACACATACACTGATACACAAAAATATATAAACTAATACATCAAAATACACACATACCAACAGTGGCGAATCCACTCAAAGACTAGGGTAGGCTTGTGCCCACCCTCAAATTTTTTGCCTTGTCCTTACCTATTAAATTTTTGAAATTTATCCAATTATGTCCACCCTTAATTTTCTTGTCATATCAATTAATAAATATAGACTCATACCTAAATAACTATTTATGGACACAATTTGGACATATTTAGATAAGGTTGGACATATTGAGGTTATTTTTATTTTTTTAAGAAATTATGATAATATTTTGTACTATATAAAAATTGGAGACATTGCATTTTTAACATAGGTTCATTTGGTAAGTATAAAGGAAATCAATGTCACAACTTAAAACTATAAAATTAATTAGAGTTAAAAAAAACTCAAATATGAATATTGAAACGAGTGAAATAATTGAGATAGAGAATAATTGAAATCATGATTATGGATACAGAAAAAGATCTTTCTCGGTGTCATTAATAATAAAGTCACTATATAACGTTATCAAAGTATAAAAATTTTCTGGGTCAATTTTGACAAAGTACAATAACATTAGTTTCAATAGAAGACTGTAATTAGCCAATTTTCTATTGTGCACATATATAAATTGAATTTTTCAGTATTGTTGATGAAATAATTGTATAAGCGTATCATCTTTTTTTTTTTTGTCGATTAGGATAAAACTTATTATAGTGCCCACCGTAGGAGAATTTTTTGGCTCTGGCACCGCATACTAGTACATTAAAACATAGATACACACTAGTTCAAAAAAACATACACATACACTAATACACAAAAATATTCACAGTATAAATATTGGGGTTAGTGTAGGAGAAAGTGGGAGAAGAGAATGCAAGAGTAATCCTCTTAACGGAAGGTATAGCATCTGAAACAAGTACCCAATTTATAAATGGTTGCATTACACAATCCTACAGAAAATTTAAGAGGGAGTTTAAACCAAAACACAAAATAAAAAATCTAAAAACCAATCACAAAACGACAACAAATCTGGTTATGTCTTATTTCAATTGCTCCCTTACAAGCTCTCCGTTCATCAGTCTCTCACCAGATACTACGATGGCAACACCAACAGCTACTCCAAGGGAGATATTACATGTAACTGGGAATTTCAAGAACCTCACTCAGGAGTCCTGAAGAGCAAGTAAAAATATGTAGCAAAATATAATATAGTTTCACTAACGTTTGTTTTCCTTTCGAGTCTTAATTCATATTTATGTTTGGTCTCACGAGTTTTATGTTGGTTGTCTGTTACTTAACACTATTCTTTGCCTTTATCAGTACCTTGGATTAATGAGAACCAAACTAGGTAATTACCCTTTTTGACCCTTAATTATACTTGTGTTGTGATAGTGACTTGATGATTACATTACCTTTTAAATTGTAACAATCTCTATTTCTTGCCCACTTGCCCTTTGTGATCCCCACCAGAAAAGGGGCCACGAAGCAATATCACTAGGACGTTTTGGACCTCATGGACACAAACTTCACACTCTTTATTTCCTTCCAATCGACAATGGTCATGGACAAGGGTGGTTTTGCAGTGGCATTTTGTCTTCAACACATTTTCTTCAGGGAATAAGTTGATACAGTATTTACAAACTGATTCCTCTTTAGGAATCTCTTCATCGTCTTCTACTAGGACAAAGGAGTGAGGTTAGCTCAAGATGATATAGCAATACAAGTAAAACAAATTGATATTGTACTAATAGAAAGACTCGAAAAGTTATTTTCAATACCATACTTAAAAATACAATTTTTGAAAGTCAAGTTTCGTTTAATCGATATTATTCGTGATCGATCATGCCAGTGAACCTCATTTAGTTGTAATTTAACCTTTAAAAGTTGTATTTTAGTGATCGATGATAACTCTTTGAGTTATAACCTTCTCAAAGTTTGATATTTGACCATTAAATGTATTTTCCAACATTTAGACCAAGCACAAAATCCCTCAAGATCTAACCTCCACCCTGGATAAAATCTAACAAAAGTTAATTTTTTTGACATATTGCACTTCATTTTTGAAACTAAACTTTTAAAATCAAAAGCAGTGGCTGGGTTATAATATTTAATATTAAATTTTCAAATTCAGTCATATCCTTCATATAAAAATCAATAATACTCCTTAAACTTAATCGGTTTTCTTATTCCATTGCTATTATTGTATGAGCACTGAACCTGAGTGATATTTGAATCGACTATCAATCAAAGAACAACAGAATGAAAGACTAATACATTTAGTTGAAGTAGTGACATTAGTCGAAATAGAGTAAAATTGAATCTTGAAATTCATGATCTAGATTAGAATCAAATAAATTACACGTGGTTTAACCGTCCCTTGCAACCTCGTCGTCGGATTTGCAAAGCACTTTCAAAACCAAAACTAACACTTGCCAATGCCTCTCTTTCTACCATATTTCAAACAAATCAACAGTTACACCATATAGCCAAACAATTAACCCTTATCAGCAAAAACCACTTAAAAATCACATATTAAAACAACAATCACACATCAAAACAAGATGGAATAATACAATATTTAAATACATAACCAAAAGATAATTCGTTAGCCACTTTAATGCAGAAGTCCAGAATTCATCTGTCACAAAAAAGAAAAAAAAATACATTAATAAATTATCAATCAAATTTTTCAAAAACATACAAGTTTTCTAATTTTTAAGTGTTAAATTTTTTAGTTTTTTTCTTAAACTCTCAACCCATCTTGAAATGAGATGTCTTTTCTTACAAATTTATATATCCAAATAATTCTTCTTCGTCCGTTTTCATGGTGAACATAGTTGAAACGAGACGATTGACACCCTTAATTCTTAAGTATTGAATTTTCTAATTTTTCGTCAAACTCTCAACTCGAGTCTCGAAAATGAGAAATCGTCTTTTCCTACAAGTTTCTATGCCCAAATAGTTGCTCTCTGTTCGCTTTCACGGCAAATAGAGCGTAAATGAGCCGATTGGCCCACTTAGCTCCAAGTTTTAGTTTTTATACTTCTTAAATGTTGAACTTAAAATGATAGTAAAAAGATACTAAGACTCAGTTGACATTTCTGCATTAGTTGAGCTGCCCTGCAGAACAAGTTGCACTTGAAGTTGCATCTGCAAAAGTTGTTGCATCATCTGTTGCTGTGCGTCTTCAAACTTCTCTAGTTTTAGTTTCGTTTCATCGCATTCCTTTTAAAGAGAATCAACAGTTGCTTGTAACTCTTTTATCATATCAGCTTGTTCTCGATACTTAGCAGTGGATGTGAATGATTGACTAGAGGATAAAGGCTTCGGGCCATGTCCAAATCCTTTCTTATATCCAGGTCGGCTGCCAAGGATTGTGCATGCAATTCCATCCTATGTCAATGGCTCTACACCCTCTTCTAAGTTCTGTGTGAAAAATTCTTTCATCCGCTCCAACAATTTAATGTATTTAAACCCAATTAGTGAGTGTATCATAAAAATTTATTTTAAAAAAAAACATAATTTTCTACAATTTAAAATACTTATATATCTTGACTCTACCTCAGCCGAAACTCACTCACCCTTCTTATTCACATGAGAATCATAAAAAAAATCAACAATGTGGGGTGACTCCTCAGCCGTAGAGTCCCTCTGTTACAGTTAATCAAAATATCAATATTCAAAATTTTGAATTTCCTATATATTAAAACTTTGGAAGCAAATCCTAAAGTATAACACCCTTTCATATAGGACATACTGAACGGACTTTGAACTCATCGAGTGGTTGTATGACAATTTGACACTATTTTTTGCATTTTTCTTAGATTTTGCCTATATACAAAGAATATAATTAGTACACAATTGAGAATAAAAAGTGGATATTAATTTGCATAGCTTATAAAAGTTACTTGAAATTTTGGATCTTCGCAAAATGTTTCAATTATGTACTCCCAATTCTCCTGACTCACATCACCATATGACTTGTTCTTTGGGTCAACACTAGACTCAACCAAATCCTTATAGTGCATATGCATATAGTATCAGTGGTCCCTGTACCTCGCAGCAAATATTTTGTCGATGACCTTCCTAACACTAACTTTTTCACGATACTCTTTAATGTTAAACTTTGTCTTCAACAAAATATAAATATACAAATTAATTACAACATGTTGTAACACTCTACACAAATAAATATGTTATTGAAACCAAACAAATATATCCACTAACTAACAACCATGCAATGAGTGGTATCTTTTCCTCTTATGTTATTTGCTTCAATTTGTGCACATTTCTAATAGGGGCAAACGTCTTCGCTAGGGAGCCAATCTCTATCATCACCTTCAAAGAATAGTATATTTTTTGTGACGAAAATAAAAACGTCGCAAATTGAAATTTTATTTTATTTTTTGATTATTTAATTTGCGACAAAAAATTTTGTCGTATATTTTTTTTATTTCCTTCCATCACTCACGCCAAAAAAAAAATGGAGGGACTCACAATTTTGCGACGGACTTAAAAAAACGTCACAAAAAAATTACCATAATAATTATTTGTAACAAATTTATCAAATCCTCGCAGATAGTATATTTTTTGTGATGAATTTAAAACGTCGCAAAAAATAATTTTTGTTGTAGTGTTTGTACTAGAGTAAGGTGTAACTAATTCAAGTAGTTAAGGGAACAATGTAGGAAATTCAGTGGCCCAAGGGGCAAACTGAGTTTAAGATTAGAATTTAGAGGATCAAAGTATAATTTGTCCTTAACAATAAAAGAGTTAGAATGTGTTAAGATGTTTTTTCTTAATGATACATCCAAATACTTATACCAAGTTTGTCTTGGGGCTGTATTTTCCACATTATTGTGTTTGAGATGACTTATAAAATTCAAAAAGTATTTCTTATACAAGTATTTCTCAGAAGTGTTTTATAAAAAAGTATTTTCATTAAATAGACAACGTTTGGATGCTCAAACAAAAAAAAAACACTAAAATAAAAAGTATTTTATCAAAATGTGCATGGTGCTGGGTGGTGATGGTGGTGGCGACGACGGTAATAAGGTGTTTCAAATACTATATTTTTTTTAAAAATACTTATGAAAAGTCACAAGTCCTACAAACATTTTTGAAAAGTTATCCAAAACCCACTATATCAACATGTGTTATGCCTTGAGGCTGATTATTACTCTCTCTCTCTCTCTAGACTCACCTTTTCTCCTCTCCACTGGTGTTTGATTTCTCTTTTCTTCTCAGTGGAGGTCGTTGAGTATGCCCAAACCTTCATTTTCAAGAGCAAATCCGACGACGAGGTTGCAAGGGACGGTTAAACCACGTGTAATTTATTTGATTCTAATCTAGATCATGAATTTCAAGATTCAATTTTACTCTATTTCGACTAATGTCACTACTTCAACTAAATGTATTAGCCTTTCATTCTGTTGTTCTTTGATTGATAGTCGATTCAAATATCACTCAGGTTCAGTGCTCATACAATAATAGCAATGGAATAAGAAAACCGATTAAGTCTAAGGAGTATTATTGATTTTTATATGAAGGATATGACTGAATTTGAAAATTTAGTATTATTGGTTATTTTGTATTACGTGACTGTACAGTTAGTTTATTGGCCTCTACTTGGATAATCTTTCTTGGTTATTTTGTAGATTGCAAACTTTCTTGTTTCGTAAGTATTCGTTGAGTGCTCTACTGGATATACTGCTGTCAAAAAAGCTGGCTGCTGGGAAACTCTTTGTGGGACAAAAACTTAGGATACTGCATTGGTTTCCTCATTTATAATTTCCTTTTCTTGCTTAGATGTCTTGTTAACTTTCCATTATTTAATTCACTATCCTCTGCAGATTTGGGGAGCTGGATTATGTGGCTGGGTTAGGCCTGTTTCACCACTCGAGGTCATTGCCAAATTTAACTGCTTAATGAAGTTGACTTGTTGGTACATTTATTCTCTTTGTATGGTTTTCTCAAGCCTTTCCTTCCATATCAGACACCAGGAACAATTAGTTGAGGTTATTTGCTGGTGATAATTAAAAACATAGGCCATTCTTAGGTTATGTGATGAAGCCCTTTCATAACACTAGAGACGATTAAAAAATATAAAATTAATTATGTAGAAAATGTAAAAAAAAAATGAGAACTGGAAGGTAAGTATCTCCCCCCCCCCCCCCAAAGTGTTGGGGTAAAGTAAAAATAATCATGTCACCTATCACAAGCACGTGCAACCATTATGCTCTGCACAGGCCACTTTTCATTATCTTTTTCCCCCTATTATGCTTCATGTCTTCTGTCAAGTCTTAGCTCATGTTCATTTTAGTCTTGATAAATTTTAGTTGCGGGTTGAACTCAAACTAACAGTGTTAGGAGGGGTGGATTGGGTACGTACCTTATATTTTGCATAATATGCATGAAGTGACTCCCCTCTGTATAAAGCCACAATCTCGCACTTCTTAGCCAAAGTATAGTCCTTTACCCTCTGGTTATCAATTTGGGAATGAGTAGTAATTGTTCAAATTATGCGGGAACATCAAGTTACTTGTCTTGGACCTGGTTGATCGATGTAGATAAGCGTTCACCTGTGTAGTACTTGACTTTCTTTTTGTGGATGTAGGTGCTCAGTTGTTGCAGAGGGCGTTATGGCTGAGTTTCACAGGGATATCAAAGATGTCCATGGTAATAATGACCATGATAGTGAAGAAGGGGCAAAAATCTTAAGGATGCTTGAGACAGCTACTAAACCAGAAGTTCTAATGGCCGAGATGAGTTCAGAGCAACTAACTTCTTTTGCTACTTATCAAGTAAAACTAGAGGCAGCTGGTTTCAATTTTTTTGTTTCACATATTTTCTAAATCAGTAGTGGGGTTATTAAATGTGGCTGATCCATTTTTAGGCACTCACACAGTCAGATATGCAGAAATCAATTGAGAAAGCTCTCAACGAGGCTGGCTTAAGTAGGAGCTTAGGGAGGTAACCCCATTTGGGAGGGCACTCAAACAGCCAGAATTTGATCTTCCTCCAGGTTAATAGTTCGGCCTCGTTTATGTACTTGACTAATAGTCAAGACCCTGTTTGCAAGGCACTTGGATATTTGACTGCCCATGACAAAATTTTCAGGCCAAGTTCTCAGATTATTTCCAACATATTGATTGGAGATGATGTTCCCATTTTTTTCTTTTTTGTAACAGATGAATTTTGGACTTCTGCATTAAAGTGACTTACAAATTATTTTTTGGTTATATATTTAAATATTTTGGGAAACTTGTATATAGATTACGTTGTTAGATATTTTGATGATTTGTATAACTTTTATTAAGTGTATTCTATTTTATGTTTTTGTTAGTATGGTATTTTATGTTAGTTTGTGTTGGTTGTTGAATGAAAAATATGTGAAATGTATTAATTGTGTTAGTTTTTTATTGAACACAGGTATTAGTGTTGTACAAGTGACAAATTTTATTGGAATACCATTTTTTATGAATGGTTATTGATTAAAAAAAAAAAATTGCGATGAAATTAAAATCGTCGCGACAAATTGAAGGAACAACCTTTTTTGCAACGTTTTTTAATCGTCGCAAAAGTCTGTACCAGTTTTTGGTTCTAACATTTTTGCAATAATTTTTTACGTTGCAAACGTATTTATTCAATTTTTTTTGGATTGAACCGTATCGCGATGTTTTATATTAACGTGCTAATACCAAAATTTTTTGCGACATTTATTTTTTCGTTGTGAATGTGTTTACATTTTTTTTTATTTATGTAAAAATTTATTTGCAACAATTTTTTTGAGTCACAAAAAATTAATTAAATTATTAATTTTTTATATTTTTTGATTTATTTAAAACTTCATTTGCGACGATTAATTAAATTATTATTTTTTATTTTTCCCTGCTGGTGGAACAAATTTTAGCTATGTTAGTTTTAATTTTTGCGATGTTTTTTTTCGTCGCAAATTTTTTTTTTGCAATGAATATAAAATTGCGTCGCAAAATACTTTCTACGATGAGACTACTACGACGAACAAGCGACGAAAAAAAGAAGTTGAGAAAAATAAATGACAACGATTTTTTTTTTAATTTAGCAACAAAAAAAATCGTCGTAAAAAATGCTTTTTATTGTAGTGAAATATCCCTTATCTTTTGGAGGTAACATGTCCACGTGTTAGGGCAAAATGAAAAAAAAAAAAAAAATCAAATAATTCATAGAGTGAAAATAGACAAATTTGTATAAAAGTAGTGACAAATTTTAATTATTAGGGTGATGTAAAACAAATAACCATAAATGAATGTGCAATATGACAAAATGATAAAACTGTGTTGCTCAAATATATTTATCAAATTTTGTAGCCCATATGATGTGTCAAATATATTGAATTAGTGAACCTAATTGATCCAACAAATCACACTAATTTGGGATGCAAAATTCTGTAAATGATTTAGTAAGGATAACATTCCTCATGACAAAAAACATGATAGTTGAGAGGTGTGTAAAACATAATCCATAGTTGAGAAGATCAAAATATAAATTTTTTTTTTTTATTCATTTAGAAGAGTCGCATTTTGATTAAGATATAGTGGGATATGACATTGCATTTCCTACTCAAAGTACCAAAACAATCTACACTTGCTTGATTCCCTACGATCATTTTAGATAATTTTTTTGTGACTGTTGTGTTCATTGTCAAAAAGTATTTACGACAGCAACGAGTCGTGTCAAATAGTATTTGCGGGCAGCAAATAACTCTTTTATGACACTATTACCATTACAAAAAAAAATTTCTTCAAAACATGATTATTTGTAACGGAGAATATAGTTGCCACAAAAAATTTGTCTACAAGGGCGCTAATTCTAGTGGTGATTAACATTAGTCCGTATTTTTTTTCTTTTGGCTTGAGACTAGTCTATATGAAGTGAGTGTGGAAATCAGATAACTTGATTTCTCTGATTAGATTGACGTGCATTGCTAATAATTTTGAGAGCTCTAGAATCTGCCATGAGAGAGAGAGAGAGAGGGAGAGAGAGAGATTACACATTACTGTAGTTATTTCAATGCAAATAGAGAATCGATCAAGAAACATTTTGCAGTGGAAATACATGTGAAGCGATAAAAAGATAAAAATAAGCTTTATCTTTTTTCTTAATTTTTTAGTATTCTTCTTCTTAAAAGTTTTATACCAATTAAAATTTTTAAATAATGCATGAAGTTGAATGAGAGAATCACATTTATTGATTCATTCTAGAGACAAATTAAAAAAAAAAAATCATATGTATAGAAAAGTCATTTTGACATGAAATTTATTATACTTATTGATTTGTAATCTTTGACGGTTAATTTTAACAAAATTTCTTACAGTTTTAAAAACTATATATAAGAATTTATTTATAAGAAGTTAATATATGTTATTGGGTTAAACTATAGGAAAATAAATTTAAAATATATCCTTTTTTATGATTGAAGAGTAGAAATAACGACAACCAACAATAAATGGAAAGGATTTAATAACAACATTGTTATTCTTACCATATTATTTGCCAAAATTTGTTTATTAATTCAATGAATCATTGGATATCAACGAGTCTCATTAATTTTTTCTAATAAAACTTAATACATCAACTATCGCCATTCGTCGGAGAGAGAAAGAGGCGAAGAGAAAAAAAAGTCTGAAAATCAACCTCGAGATGATCTTTATTGGAAACCTTATCTGAGGAGGAATCATCACTAACTTCAGCAACTGTGACTAGCTTGTTTTCCATTTTTTTCTTTAGCAGGATAATGATAAGAAAATCACCAAATGGTACTGAAACACAATGGCGGAGATGACCTGAAGTATTTATAGGTACTCAATAGGTGGGGTGGGAATTAAAGAGAAGACAATTTTCTTGGAAGAAAAATGCAGAGAAATTGGTTTAGGCTGTGTCTGGTAGACTTATTAGTTGTATGGACTTTGGAAACTCAAATGTCCGTTCTCTCGAACCAAACTTTTTTTTCCTCCGACAAGAACGAAACTTTGGAAAGTTCACTATAAGGAAGCAGGTGGGAGGATAGCTTTTCAAAATTGACTTTTTGTGGGATTTTCTCCCAAGATTTCTCAGAATTTTCTTTCCTTATTTTTTTTTTTTTTTGCAATTAATTTTTGTGGGTATTCTATGAATGCATTTATTAAAGAAGGGAGTAGGGTATAATTCGGGAAGAGATTGGATAAGTTGAAAGGTCAATTCGGACTAAACTACACATTTTCACTTACATGTGTATATGTAAGTGACATAAAATTAAAGAATTTAGAATTAGGCTTTTGGGTTTCATGGTATAAGGAGCTTGTGAACTAATAGTACAAGCAATGGTTGCACCACACAATTTTTTATGAAAACGACAATGAATTCAATTATGTCTTCGATTGGACTATGGTATCAAAAAAAAAAAAAAATTCAATTCGATACCACATCTATTTATCACATTTGTCACTACTTTTACCATATTTGTGGGTTTTTTTACCACTATTATGGTACCCCAAAAAATAGTAAAATAATTATCACTCATAAATGTGATAAATTTTTTTGTACTAAAAAAATTGATAAAAATAATTACCATAAATGTGTTAAAAACACTAACAATAGTAATAAAAACACTCACAAATTAATGTGGTAAATCACTCATAAAAATAAAAAAAAATTAATTATAAAATGACCCACAAGAATTATAAAATACTCAATAAAACAATAAAAGTTAGAGATACATTATTGAAATTATCTCTTCGGTACCGTAGTCAAGTCCTTATGTCTTAGTTCAAGTGCTCCTTCGTAAGCTCTCTATTCATCCTGTCTCTCAAGTCTCATCTCACACTTCTTATATTATGCATGCCAACTACTACTTAAGGATAGGGGCATTAATTGAATCGAACTTTACAAATTTAAATTGAAGCTTAACAAGCTTGTCTTTTAAACGAGCTTAAAAATTTGTTCAAACTCGACTTATTTAGAAAATGACCCAAGTCTGAGCTAAACCTAAGCCGAGCCCTAATAGCTCGACTATTTACATATAAACGAGTCGAGCTTTGTAAGCTCGAACTGAACTTTTTAGGCTCGTTGCTTTTTAAGCTTGTTTTTTTAAGCAAACCTAAAAAATTATCAAGCTCAACTTATTTAAAACACGAGTTCGAGCTCTAACTGAACCTGTATATTTCATCTCAATTAACGACCTACTTAAGGGGAGTGGCAGTACAAACTAGCCCTGCAAAGATTCCCAAGATGCTTGTTTCATAGTTTTTGAACCTAGCATCTCTGAAGACTAATAGGGCTTAAGAATTAACTCCTTCTTGCCCTAATGGTTTTATTGCTACTTAAACTAGACCAAGATGAATAAATTTATATCATTTTGATTTATGTTTTTTCATGGCTTCTTTGCTAAGTAATTGACAAATTTCTTCTTCTTTTGTGAGAGAATAAACTTGTTCAATAATTTTTACTTAAAATTTTGACTTGAAAGCTATTGGCATCCAGCTTGTTTTATAAATTTCTCTTGTTGGGACTTTGGGAGTATTCCATTTTGTCCAGTTTGTGTATGACTCTTGAGATTCATGTTTTTCTTCATTCAATATTGTTGATATAGAATTTAATGAAGATCTAGATGAGCTAGTCATATAATTAGATCTGAATAATCTACACATTTTTAAATTTGGGATTTTTCAACTTTGTAAATTACTTGTAAGTTTTTACTTCGTTGTACATACCCTTCTTATGCATATACCCTCTGAGCTTTTTCCCAAACCCACTCTCCTTTAAAACTTAATTCCATAACTCAGTCATTTTTAAACTTAATTCTCAAATTCAGTCTTTTTTTAAAAACGTCATTTGAAATGATGCATTCTTCCCTAAAAACGTCATTTGGAATGACGATTTGAACATTAATTTTTTTTTCCCTAAAACGTCATTACAAATGAAGTTTTTAAAATCGTCATTTAAAATGACGTTTTATAATAAGAATTTTTAACGAAGTCTAACAGACGTTTAAAAAAATAAAAGGGTTAAAAACATTATTGTAAAATGAAACGTCATTTACAGTAACGTTTTATTCCTTTTTTGTTTAATCATATTTTTTACCCCTTAACTTTTACATTGACATTTTTTATCCATAAGACATTTACATTGACGTTTTTTACCCCTTAGTCTTTTACATTGACGTTTTCTTGACCAAAAGTTTTCAACCACCAACTTGTAATAAATTTCATAAAAGCTAAATAACCCCACTTTATGTCTCACATCATGATTCACCAGACAAAAAAAAAATTAAATAAATTTTAGAATTTAATTCCGTTTTCATAAAAAATTTGAACTTATTTTATAATTGAAAATAAAATTCATAAAAGCATAATTTAATTTCATATTTTTCAATATAAAAACATATTAGTAAAACATATATTTAATAAAAAAAAACTTAAAAGCGTATTTTGAAAGTACACTTCTATATTAAAAAATATGTTTTGTATATGTTAAAAATCTTAATATTATAATCTCACTTCTCACGTCATAAAAACATTCCAATCTGAAAGAGCTTTTCCTCAAACCCAACCAGCCCTAAAACTTTATTTCCCATACTCTGTCTTTCTTTTTTTAAAATCGTCACTTAAACTGCAAGTTAATATGTTTAAAGACATATGCAGTGATAAGAAAAAGTGTGGTGTTCAGTTTCTTCAGTGATCTATCTATCAACTGATTGTTGCTGCCTGAGGGTATTGTAACATCCAAGTATGAATATTTACAAGTACTTCAGCATTTCTTGTATGTTTATGCTAAAATATTGAGCTATATGACCCTACATCTGTAAGAATGATATTGCTGTAAGATCTCAATTTAAATTATCAATAATAAATAGTGAATATGAAAATTAATCAAGATAGAGTGAATCACATTTCTCTACAATAGACTCCAGTTCTACAAGTTCATATAAATTACCACGGCTGCTGAAGGCAGCTTGAACCCCACTCCTCTCCAATTCTCCTATCCCTCTGTAGTATTAAGTATAAACCATTTAATTTCTTTTCTAAAAGCCTCTGCTGGTGTATCTCTGAATCCATTTTGAGTGCAGGAGATTCAAGAATAAGCGATTGAAGCTCTTTGTAGTAATTTTCCAAAAGAATGTCATCCGACCTCTGATCATGCAGATCAACTGTGTGGGAACTTTAACTCTTTCATTTGATCAAGCTTGCAAACTGAAACAATCTCGTTATCTGCCGCAAAAGAAAGAGAAGGGGAGCTGGATAATATAAGTGTTGGCACATGAACAGATTATATTCCCACAGCAAACTTTTAAAATTAGTAGCACAAACATTTGTCAAAAATAAAAAATAAAAACAACTCACCATTTAAGATAAGTGCACGTAAGCTCACAAGGGCAAACTAGCTCCATTGCTCATGGCAGCTAGAGCCATATGGGTATGGCCGAATAATTAGCAACACAAAGCTTTTTTTCTATCATAGTAAAATAAGAAGAGGTGCAGTGTAAGTTCTTATTGACCTCCCTTGTTTGGACCAAGTCCTATGACAACTTATAGTCTATACTCCCTATGTATCTGTTTACTAAATAGTGTGAAACTTAATAGTTCACAGTGGTTTGAAACTAAATAGTGTGAAACTTAATTTCTCTTGGACATAAATCAAAGCATGAATACAGAAAGGTAGTGATAATATGAGAACTCTACCAAAACATTGGTAAATTTTAGTAACTAACTAAACAAGAAAAAACAAATAAACTAATTTCATTTTCCCTCGAAATTGCCAAAACTCTTTCTAATAATATTCGCATATACACAAATTTTCAGACATTTCCAATACTATCAAGAATCTGAACATTATAAAGCAACTATATCGAATATAGCATACTCTGGTCTTTAAGCCCTGCATTGCTACATAATATTTACCTAAAGCAACCAATACTTTTTAGCAAAAAAAAAGAAGAAATCGCATACCCACAGGATTAGCAGCAATCAGCTGCTCTGCAACAGACTTTATAGCATCAATAAGAGCTACAGCCTAATTCGTGTGAGGTATCCGCTGCTGTGAAATCACCGACCGAAGCAATTCCGCAGTAAGCTTCGCCGTGGCCTTCGAGCTCTCTACTTTACTGCCATACACAATCAATGATTAAGTGAACAGGTATCTAAATCAAAGCCTTTACATAATTCCAATGAACCAAGTCGAAGAACTCACCGTTTTGTAAGCTTAATTCCGAATTCATTCACGAGGGCATGTGTGTCCCGCATCGCTTCGACAAATTGTCACCTGAAAAACAAAACCCAAATTTTATCAGACGTTCCGGAATCATAATTCCTCTATTTTGTTACCAAGAAAATATAAGAAAAATCCTAATTCCACTTCTAACTAACCCAAGCCAGAATACCACCCAAATACCCTACCCCACTTTAAAACTTCCATCACAAAACCTAAAAGGAAACCCCAACAAGAATTACAGAAAAAAAAAATCACCATCTAACAATAGAAAACACACACGAACCACCAAAACTCAACAAAACAACCTATAAAGACCACTGATCTATTACATATTACATACAAATCTTAGATTCACCTTCTTGATATCTGTTCAGAAAACACCCATGACCACAGATCCATGAGCATCGATTTAGGCAAAAAATCGATTATGGGCAAAAAATATTTAGGGCAAAAATGGAGAATGGAAATTGGAGAATGTGCTCACTACTTAGTTGGTGGTGGAGGCTGTGCACGCTGGTGGAGGCTTTGGTCTCTGGTGGAGGTTGTGGTCGCTGGTGGAGGATGTGCTCGATGGTGGAAGCTGTGGTCGCTGGTGGATGGTTCTCCGATGGTCTTCCTCGTCGGAGAGTGGCTGAGGAGGAGGAGTGCTAAGCGAGAGATGGGATCTGATCGACAGAAGAGATCTGATCGAGCTTGTGAGGATCTAATCGAGTTTCTGAGGATCTGATCGACAGGGAATGATCTGAGAGAGAGACAGATGCGACAGAGGGATTGTTGTTGAGAGAGAGAGTGATCTGAGAGAGATGCGACAGAGGGATTACAAATGACGTTTTTTACCTCCAATTTTTTTGAACGCCCAGTTAACAGTCATTTGAAATTTTATTTTATAAAACGCCATTAAAAATGACGAGTTTAAAAATATCATTTCTAATGACGTTTTTAGTTAAAAAAATTTAAAGTTAAAATCGTCATTAACAATGACGTTTTATCATATGGAGGCGTCATTATAAATGACGTTTTTAAAAAAAGACTGAGTGTGAAAATTATGTTTAAAAATGACTGACTTATAGAAATAAATTTTCAGCGGGCATGGGTTTGGGAAAACCTCCATACCCTCTAGATTTGTTGTCTTCTTCCTCTATTTTGCCTCTCACTAGAACTTACACCCGGGATCTAGACTCTCTAAGCTTAGGTGGCAAAGCTAAGGTGACAAAGAAGATAAGACTTATAAGAAATTTATTAGTTGAAGTATCAAATATTTATCAATAAGTAAAATGAAACAAATATAATTCAATAGTTTCCCAAACTTTACCCTAAGCCTTGAAGATTCTACTATTTTAACAACATTAACCTTAAGTATAAAAACTGCAGGAGAATATGCTAAAATGACAGACAAAGTAAGATCATTAGTACTTATCTATAAAATTTATTACAAATGCATAACAACAAACTTGAATGTTCTTGCATTAAAGAAAATTCCTAAAGATAGAACCTTACTAATCCAAGCAAGTACTACTGAAGCCAATATACAAGTTCCAAAGAGAATTCTTTGGAAAGATGCCAAGCTTCCAGAATGTTGGATACTTGAAAATGAAAGTTATAGTCAAAGTAGTCAAAATACTTCAACAAACTTATAAGGTATCTAACAATTATCTGATGGATCAGTAAGAATCTCATTTGATAGCACAAGATCCAGCAGACCTAGTATATCGAATAATAAACCACTTCACATCCATGAAGGAAGAAAATCTGAGTCAGCCTATTATAGTTTAACTAGACAAGATAAAGTTTTAGCTAATGAATTAGAGAAGAAATTCAAGCTAAAAGAAATTAACACTTCCTCATCACAAATTAGTAAACTATGTTACACTCCACAATCACGGTTTCAAGAAGAAGAAGAAGATGATTATTTTACACCATCTCCTTCTGCTACTGACCTGAGAGTAACCCCCCAGTAAATAAACAGTTACTTACAATTAGTAAATCGGATGATCTATTTCTTATTGATGAAGATAGATTATATGATGAATTCAAGTCTAAAGATAATAAACCTAAAAGAAGAGAATTTAACCAGAAATATAGTGATAGTAAACAACAAAGAATATTTAAAAAATGGACTAAGTTTATGAATGAAATAAGATGAAATCTATTTCTTTGATTACTTAGAAAACTATTACAAATCAGTCAAAGTAGTAACAAAACATAAATAGAAAAAGAAAGATGCCTCCACAGTATCTTCAAGCCATCTCCCAGCAGAAACCTTATTAATTAGTCATAAGGATCATGAAGTTAAAGTCTCACCATTTAATATACCAGTTAATGAATCTAAAAAAAAGAATAATTGAGTAAAATAATTTTACCAATCAATGTCTAACAACAATTGGTAAACAACTAGATAAAATTGAAACTAAGATTGATGAAATCAAACCAAGTAAAAAATTAGAGAAACCTCTAATTCAGTTACCATAAAATATAAGTAAACTTGGAGTTTTAGTAAAAGATAGCAAAAGACTTCAAAAAATTGAAGAAGTAATCCAAAAGATGGAAGCTAAAGCCAAATACCAAGTAAACACTATCAATCAAAATGTCGAACAAACTTTTAAAGAAAGTAAATTTGCAAAATCCAGGAATATAGAAAGTTCTTCTGTGACGCCCCAAAATTCGGGGGTCCGTTGATTATCCATCAACCCGTGAAATATCCGTGGATATCGAGTAACTCGATATCACACCGTTATGCCTCATTTACCGAGGTCTTTAATTTAACAAAATTCGGGCAGAGTCTCCTTTGTACGGGGAGCTCTACCCAAAACACAACCTGTGCAATATACATTAACATGACCCGTCTGAGGCCCCATATAACACAATGACCACACATGGTCCATTTATAAGTAAAACTTGACCACACCGGGTCCAATGATCTATATTTATATCAAAACATGCAAGATTAGTTTAACAATAGTCTATATAAGTTCTATTACAATTTAAAAGATTACATGCTTAAAACATTCTTTCCACAAATATTTTACATTAACACAAAATAAAGTCACATTTGGCTTTCTTCAAACATGAGGGTCCAAATTGGAGCCATCCACCGATGTACCTCTCCCACCTGAAATATTTCTCATATAGGGTGAGTCAACGCTCAGTAGAAAAACTTTTACAGAGACTACTCCCCACCTAAAATATGTATGCAATGCGCACATGCCACAAACAACTTCTTCCAAATAAGAACATGTTATTCAAGATAGAATCTCATTATGCCATGCCAAGTAATGAGATGAAACTCACTCATGCATGTTATTCCGAGCCCACACCAACTCCCACAACACAATGCGACTCATATGTGTAAAACAAACGTCTTTGATGAAACACATCCAAATATCATTTTGAAATCAACCATATGTCATAAAACTAATTCATTCTTGAATGTTTCCCATCAAATGAATAGTTTATATATCAAAATCATGTGCCTTTATGGGTATCGAATTCAGGAATTGCACCTCCGGCTCCGTACGCCGTTAAACTTTTCTGAAATTTTACCGCTGGTAAGTGTATGAACCAAGTGGTCGAATTTTTCACCCGAGGGAGTATCTATCCCTACTTGCTATACCCGACACAAGTTTTCTTATGCATGTAACTGTGCGACTCCGTAGGACGTTTCATCCCACTTTTTCGAGCCCACCATCAAGCACCAATGTTAGTGTTGATCACCCCATGCAACCCTATGCCTACACTCATGCATATAGCCCATAAATATAATGTTAATTTCATGTTCATATTGCAATGCATGTCAAATGAACAATTTTTACATATCAATGTATACCATAACAATTTATATCATTTACATATAATCACCATAACTATTTCAAGTTCAATATATCCAAAACATATAAATTTCATGATCATCATAATGCTAACATATTGTTAAGCATACATCAACATAACATTACAGTTGTAAATCACATCATAAGCATGTAATTTCACTTTACCATATTTTTCAAGCATGCTATTTTATTAAACACAACAAACATCTTCAAGGCACCAATAATGTAATCACATAATTCAAGTATTTTAGAACCTTGCAACTACCTTGGATGTGTGGTGAAGGTATGACCACATTACATGAGGATTTGGAGGCTTAGAAGTTAAGAAATCAAAGAGGTATTGGTGTTTGATAACAAAGGCACCAGCACTAGCTCTCGCTGGTGGAAATACCTCTGTTTTTCTCCATTTTTACCATGATCCACTCAGCACCTAGAAACGTTCAAAACATGAAAGTTGTAGATCTAGATGTCTTCTATATCGTGTCAAAATATCAGCTCAATCCAACGGTTGGATCAAAAGTTATGACGATTTTTCGACAATTGGTCGAAAACAGAAAAGTGTACCGACTTTTCTTGTTATCACATAATATTGCTCACATCTTTATAAATCACATTTGAGCACATAACATACCCAAACACATCAAATCCCAAGGAATCACACAAGTAACTTCCTTTACCAATTTTTACTAGGAATTTATATAGACCCAATTCCACACCTATTTTTTTAGCCATATACATAAATGAGTCAATATATATATAAACACATATATTCAACCATCCCACATAAACATTCTAGTCTAAGAATAGACCCAAGTAGGAGAACCCCCTACCTTAATAGAAGTGTAGAGATTTCTATTCCACCAAAACAAGTCCCAAATCTTTGATCCTCAAAGACTTTGTCTTTGAATCTTTGGTGAAAGTCTTTATTTTTGGTACCCACACGTAGCCCTCGTCGCGTAGATCGACTTTAGTTTTTGGTCAAACAGATTCCGACCAATGGATCTTGAGAAATTGTCGGAAGAAAAGTTGAAAAAACACACTTTCTCTCTTTCTCTCTTCTCACGCCTAAACCAGCCAGCCTCTGGGGGAAGAAAATCTGATTTTTTTTGGATATTATGCCCTTTTTATACTTTTAAAGACTTGGGCCTCGTCGCGTCAAGTGTCCTCTTTTGTTCGGGTCCGTTTTTCGCTCCGAAATAATTAAATTTTGTACCGGTTTAAGCTCAAAATATTTTATACGAACTTTATTTAAAATATTTTTAAAATTTTAAAATTTTTATAAAAATTTCGTTTTTAGGAGTCACCGGACACCCGTCACCTCGAAAAATGTGAAAAATCCGACTATCTCAGAATTCGACAAAATTTGTCTTGGTAACTAGATTTCGCGAGAAGAATTCAACGGTGAGGTCCGTTTCATCATCCGAGATTTAGAAAAATATCATTTTTTAACCCGCACTATAATGTCAAATTACCATTTTACCCTTTTTCAGAAAAAGTTTAAATTTTTTCCTGGATTTCACATCTTCTAATTCTGAAATTAGAGAATTAGAAAAACAATTTGGTAGTCAAAATCTTAACAAGTTAACATTTTCAAAAGTAAATCCAACCAGTACCACAAAAAATTGGTGTTCCAGACCAATACCTCCTAATCTTCAGTTTGAAGAAAAGAACATTAGAAACCAATTCTCAGTTCAATCCAATAAACTCTATGAATGGAACATAGATGGATTGAGTGAGCAAGAAATACTTAACAAAGTAAATCATATGTCTATGGTTATCAGCAGTTATATTAACAATCTTGGTAATACTGAATTAGAAATAGTTGACCTAATCACTTTTGGATTCATAGGAATGTTAAAAACTGGTGGGATAAATATCTTAGTCAAGAACTATAAGACAATATTAGATATGTTGTTGA